ACAGAATTAAATTTTAACAGCTAATTCATTTATTATTATATATAAATTATTTTTTAAGTGATTAATTGAAAAGTTTAAACTATTGAAATTATTGATAAGCCAGGATTAATAGGAGTGATTTCTCTGACTATTGAGGTGGAAATAACTCCTTCTGCAGTCCTGCTGCTTGCAAAATAATAAAATAGACATTGAAGGGAATGTGTTAGATTATGGGAAAAGGAAAGAAAGGAATTCTAAATCTCCTTTTATGAAGAGTAAGAAAACAGCCAAAAAACAAAAGAGGAATCTGAGGGCGAAGATGAAGATGATGACACTGACAATAATAATTTACTAAGAAAAGCTTTTAAAGAGCTCATACAAATGAGAAAAGAAAATAGAGAATATAAAGAAGAGAGAGAAGAATAGAAATAAAAAACCAGAGCTAAAGTAGGAATTACACATGGAAAGTAGAAAATAGAATTATGCAAAAAAGAGATAGCTGAAACATTTAAAGGGAGAAATGTATACAGGGATACAAGGATACTCAGGTACAAGGATAAAAGTATTTTAAAAAGATCATAGTAGACGAAGTGGAATGGAGATGTGAAAAGAAAGGCATTTTTAAAAATATTGGGATAAAAAAAAAATGAGAAGTAGCGGAGAAAAAACAGAAGTCAAGAAAAACAGTGAATTTGTGACAAAACCAAGAAATATGATAAAGGTAAACCTGATAAAGCCTTGGCTATGACAACTGACATAAATAAACTAAATGAAATAATGACAACATAAAACACATAGACACATCAAATAGAAAAATAGCATATAATTTGGAAAATTGGAGCAAGGAACATTAACAGCATGAATGGTAAAAAATAAAAATAATAGAGGAGTTTGAAGCAGCAGAATTAAGTATATTAGCAATAACAGAGACCAAGAACATTGAACAAGGAATATTAAAATGTAAAATAATTGTACCTGAAGACAAAAGAGCAGCTGCAGATGTAGGTTGCAAAATACACAAAAGACTGGAACATCAGGTATACTTCTGCAAAGCATGGTAATAGAGAATATTTATAATAAAGATGAATGATAAAGAGTGTAGCTGTAATAAAACTATCATAGTAGTATATGGAGTAATGAAGATGATAACTCACAAAGCAAAGATGAATTTTGGGGAGAGTTAACATTTGCAGCAGAAGCTGCAGAGGCGAAATATACATTGCAGTTGATTTTAGCAGTAGTCACTAATCCTATAGGATCATTTGGAGAAATGACAAGAAATAACAATGGAAGCAGATTACTAGAATATTGTGTATTAAACAATATGACAATAACTAATACATTTTTTAAACACAAAGAAATCTACATGTATACTAAAGAAGTCAAAAGTCAAAATGAGAAATGCATAATTGACTATATAATAATTAAAAGCAATTATAGAAGAAAATACATATTATATACAAAAGTACAGAGGACCCGAAATAGACAGTGACCATTGGATGGTAGTAACTAAGATATGAGAGCAAATAAAAAAGAAGGAAAATCCTAATGAGGAGAGGAAAAATCAATTAAAACAGAGAATAAAATCATGGGTTGAGTTTACCGAAAGTACAATACAGCCGCAAATGTCAAAAATATTTCGGTTTGGGTAAATATTTGTTTCTTTCGAGATTAATTGCAAACATATGACAACTGCTGATTTGACGATTGACAAATCTATTCCCTAATCTATCAAAGGGTAATTGCTAAAACAATTTCTAATAATTAACTGCAATTTATCTCAAAAGAAACAAATATTTACTCATTCTTGTTTTATATAAATCAAAAATTGAGAATACATGACATAATATCCACAAAATGTACTTTTCTAAAGCTTTATCCTTTTATATTTGAAGCATACAGCATTTACATTACAAAAACATGTCAACACTGCTATACTAAAATTTTTGGTTCCATGTTTGACATTTGCGGCTACAATCAGCTTGTACTTTCGGTAAACTCAACCAAATCATGTAAACTAAGAAACAAAAAAATGGAAAAAATATTTGAGAAAAAGTAAAAGAAAAACAGAATAATAAAATAAATACAAGATAATAATGATATATGTGGAACAATTATATGAATTTACCATTGAACGCAGCTAAAGAAATATGTGGAAAAATTAAAAAATACTACAATGAAACAGACAGTGTGGTGGCAAAAAAAAATAGAAAAGCAAGTAAAAGTGAAACAAAAAGTGTGAACACAGTATCTGAAAGATAAAACAAACAAGAATTATAATAACTATAAAATGAAAGAAAAAAGGTAAAATATTAGTAACAGCAGCAAAGAGAGATAATTGGGAGAAATTCGGAGGTAAAAGGGAAAAATATAGCAAAAGGTATTCTACAGAACCTTGAAGATGATAAGAACACAGAAAAAAACAAAAACTATATAAGTAGTATCAAGGATAAAAATGTTGATTCATTAATTGAGAAAAAACAAATATTAACATGATGGAAAGAACACATTGAAGAATTATTAGTGGGTTAACACAAAGATGATAATAATGAAGAACAAAATACTATACTGAAAGATAACACAGAAAACTTAATAAAAGAGGAAGAACTAGAAGAAGCAATAAAAATGCTAAACTATGTAAAAGCAAGTTGAGTGGATAAAATAACAGAAATAATAAAAACTCTAAAAAAGAGAAAAAAGGAGGACAAATATTACTAAAAATAATAAATAAAATATGGAAAAACGAAGATATCCTGGAAGATTTCAAAGTATCACTAATAGTACCCACTTAAAAAAGGAGATATGAAAGAATGTAATAAGTACCAAGCCTTAGATGAAGCACAAAGTAGGTTTAGCAGTGCCAGGAGTATAAAGGTTCATATAATTTCTTTAAAATCGCTAACACAAAAAGTACCGCAAAAGAAAAATGAAAGTATACTTAATATTCCTTGACCTAGAAAATCCTTTGATGAAGTACTGAGACAAAAACGAACTGAAAATACAAACCATGTTGGAGTTTATAGAACAGATATAGCTGAGTTGGTGTTTATACCAGATAAGAGATACCATACCAGTGAGAAGTGTGTGGGAAGCACAAATATTGCAAAAAAAAAAAAAGAAGACCAAGAAAGAATATGAAGGAACGTTTTGAGTCAATGATATTTATTTTAAGAATCAGCCTAGTACAATCGACATAATAATGTCATAAGAATTTGAGTATTCACAATTTACTTGAGCGAACATAATGTCAAAATTTATGACTTAATGAGTGAAAATACATGATGCTGACATGACTAACATTATATCAGTGTTTTACATTTGGAGATTTTTAAGTACACAAGCTGATGCATATCTTGACACCTTAACGATTTTAAAGAGGAGCTTCGACCAAAAGACCATCGTTTCCCCCTAGGAAGCATCTACTCCTTCGCAATTTAGTCAGTTATATCTTCTGGGAGCTTGAAAAGGTCTCACTAGAATATATAACAAAATTTCACTGACAGTTGCTTGATTATTCCATAATTTCATTTTCCTATAGTGGTTAAATTTGTTTCATTTTTGCTGAAATTTTTCTCTAAACATATTTTTTTACAATTTCTGAGAATGAAGTAGAAAAACTTGTGTCTACATATTTAAAAACTGAAACACTGAATCAAACTGTAAGCAACATGGCTGTTCTTTTAGGTTCAAAAGTAACACATTTTATTGCCTAATACCCTGGTCCATTTTGACACCTTTTCAAATGCCAATATGCTGGTATCATATTCTGCTTGGGCCCAGTATTGTAGCACACTGATCTTCATGACTTCTATGATGTTCCTGAATATTCCTCTTCATGGATAGAATGTTTTCTAGACTGTACTGTGGGGGTACAGCAAGAATTCCCAGTCTTTCAGAAGCCTGATGGCAGGCCCCCCTAAATCCCAAATCAGCAAGGTTCCTCAATGCCTTTCTCTGCAAACCAAATAGTCTGAGTGTCAGCTGCACGACCCCAGACAAGGATAGAGCGAGAAAGATGTGAGTGGAATATGGAGTGATATGTAGTACATAAAGTCTCCAGTGGGACATATTTTGAAAGGTTTCTCAAAATAAAGAGGCTTATTTAGTTTTTTGCACTATTTGTTAATATGTGGACCCATTGTAATTTTGGGCCCAAAAGAACTCCTAAAAACCCAACCTCTCTGACTCCCATCATTCATATTACCCACATTTCTCATTGTGAAAATCACTTATTTAGTTTTATTGTTGTTCAGAACCACCCTATTTAAAGTAAACTATTGCTCAGTAATCTGTTGTGCCACCATAGATTTTTCCAGCATATGCTCAATATTCTCAGCTGCAAATGCCACAGTAGTATCATCTGCAAAGAGTGTATACTAACTAATATACTCTCAAAATAAAGAGGCTTATTTAGTTTTTTGCACTATTTGTTAATATGTGGACCCATTGTAATTTTGGGCTCAAAAGAACTCCTAAAAACCCAACCTCTCTGACTCCCATCATTCATATTACCCTCATTTCTCATTGTGAAAATCACTTATTTAGTTTTATTGTTGTTCAGAACCACCCTATTTAAAGTAAACTATTGCTCAGTCATCTGTTGTGCCACCATAGATTTCTCCAGCATATGCTCAATATTCCCAGCTGCAAATGTCACAGTAGTGTCATCTGCAAAGAGTGTATACTAGCTTATATATCCTTATGTTCCATGTTTGGAAGATCCTTTATATAAATCAAAAATAAAGTAGGGCCCAGTATTGAACCCTGGGGTACTCCAATATTTAACACACTATCTCTTTCAGATATGTATTTTCTATATAATATGTATTTTATCTAATATCTTGAAATAGTTAATAAATTTAATGATGAATTTGAACGGATAGTTGAAGATAGCTTGAGGTACTGATTTTTCAGTGTAACTTCGCTACTTTCTGATAAACTTTACACTTCTGAATTATTTAAAAGTGTGCTATATTTAAGAGTTTATGTAAATTATTAGTAAAATATGTTTGTGTTTGTAGGTATTTCAATCAGGCTAAGATAGATGATGCAAATTATGTATCTGAAAATGCAAATTCCATGTATGGCATTGTTGTATTCCATGCTGCAGATTGCTTGCCTCATCTTAGCACCGATACATTTGGTCCATTTATAAGCCCTACAAAACTATTGAGTGCAGTTGATAAATTAGAGTAAGTATATTTTAACTTTTTTGGGTCTGCTTTTAAAGATATATTTAAAAATGTATTAGACTTTTGGCGTTAAAACTTATATACAGTTGAACCAAATTGTGTAAACTACCTTCAATTTCTAACTGACATACCCAAAACCTCCAATAGCCAGGATTTTTAAAAAAATTGTATATCAAAAATCTTATTAGAAGTTTCCATCCAAATTAAGTCCCGCTTAATATTTTTTATAGATGATAAACACGTTAGTTGTATCATGTATAGAACAAAGTTAAAAAGAAAATTACACACTAAGAGAGAATAATTAGTGAAAATAGATAAATTCACATAAGGGAAGAGAAATTTTAATATAATTAAATACTGTATATACTACTAAAATGTAGACTCGATCACAACTGTCAAATAGTTAATTATATAGAAGTATAGTAAAACTACATAAGACTGAAACATAACAAGTGAGAAAATTGGAGGGCGAATAAGATAATTGACTCAGAGGACATACAAAATATGGACCATTTTTACTCAAAATGAACAAGTGACCAACATTATCATAAAAGTAACTTGTACAAGAAAAGAAAACAAACAGATAAATAATCATCTCGGCCAGTAGAACAGGCAGGTTTTGAAAAAAGATTTAGTACTACTGATTAACCTTAAGCAATACAAACTCAAATTGAGAAACATGCAGAATATAATGTACTCCTACACTTGGGTTTTGTAGATTACCAGAAAGCCTTTGATTTATTGGAAACTTGGGTAATTCTTAGGGACTTCTGTAACGCAAGAATCAGCTGTAAGTGTTATTGAGCATATATGCTAGTATACAAGTCACGATAGAGACAGACAAAATACCCTTGAATAAAGGAATACATTACAACATCTATCTATCTATATAAGGATTCTTCCTTCTGCCATTCTCCATCTCTAAGGTCTCGTCTTTCCATGGCCTCGTCCACTTCATCCCTTAATGATCTTCGGGGTCTACCTCTTTTCCTCCTACATTCTATGTATTTCTCCTATATTCTTGGTTTTGGGAAAATACTTTAAAAATTTGGAATGGTAACATAGGATCATTAATATATCATCTGTAATTTGCAGATGATAGAGAAGAATGCTGGAAGAATTATATGAAGCATATAGAACTCAAAATGAATTTCTTTTAGACTAAAATGATGACTTCAGAAAAGATACAGTATGACTTGATTTTGGAAAGAGTGGCTAAACTGAGTGGCAGTAGGTGGAACTCATAGTGTGACCTCCATTGGATTGATGGAGACACAGACTTTTGGTTTAATATCCTAGACAAATCAAAAGAAGTATGGGAAGAGTCCAGAAACAAATGTTTTCACACAACAAACAGAAAGATGCAGAAATAATTGGAAAAGAGTTATATTTAGGAATAATTAATGTGATTCATTGTGATTGACTTAGTTATAAACAATACAATGAACAAGGGTACTGGTATAAACTAGAATACTTTTATAGTAATAGAGTAGAAGAAATAAAAAGTCAGAAAATACTGCACTGTTCAATTGTCATCTTCATAGATAGCCAGGCAACGCTTAAGGTACTCAATTCTGTAGAGGTCAATTCTAAGCTAGTACGGAATTGTGTATGTACTTTAAATAAACTAGGAGACCCTAGCAAGATTACAGTAGGCTGGTTACCAGGGCATGAGGAAAGTAAGGGAATGAAAAAGCAGATGAAATGGCCAAAAAAGGCTAATTAATGCTATTCATTGGACCTGAACTCTTCTGCGGCGTTACAAAGACAGTAACAAGAAGAGCTACAAGAAATTGGGTAGCACACAAATCTCTGCAATAGTGGAGGAATTCACCAGGACAAAGCCTAGTGAAACAAATAATTATAGAACATTCGCCAAAATTTAAGCAGATCTAATAAGCAAACATAGGAAAACAGTCAAAGCCATAGTGGGTCGGTTAAGAGGGCACTGTAAGCTAAATAGACAGTTGAAGCTGATGGGATTGGCAGATGATGATCTATGCAGATTGGATGTAATCTAGAATTAGAAAACCACAATATATTTGAAAAGGTCAAAGTGAAATAGGCCAAATGCCACCTCCTTAAATCTATCTATCTACATAGTAGTGAAGTATTTAGAGATGGATGAAATATATCCTCTCGTCAATGACAAAAACCAAATGTTATAAACTTCAACAATTTGGTCAAAGTATGGTCGAGGGCACAGAAAAGCACATAAAAAGATTCGGTTTAGCAAAGAACATTCTAAGTAAAATATAGATGTCCAGGACATTAATACTTATGACAAAAGGATTAAGCTTGGATTAAGCTCAAAGTGATAAGGAAGTAGTATAGGTATCTATATACCTCACGAAGCCGCAATTTTATTTACAACATCCTTTTAAATGTATCCTTGTGTTTTTTAACAATGCCTTTAACAAGATCTTTTCTGGGAGAATGTTTTACTATTTATTTTTATTTTGCAAGAGGTCTTTCTTTACACCAACTACTTGTTGGCAACGCTTCTGATATATTTTGAAATATAAGTTAATAATACAACTTCACTAAATATTCAGAACTTCCTATATGTATAATGTTTCTTATAACTCGTATTTCTTTTCCTGATGGATTCAGACCTGTCTATGTCTCTTTCAAGAATGTCTACTTATGGGTCTTATTACATTCCTGACAAATAACTGTCTTGCATATGTTATACAAGTAACCAAAAGAGCTTAAACATGTTTTCATGGTTCTCATCAGAGATGAGTATCGCCCTGCCTCGAATTTTTCTATTGGCTGTTAACCTGGAAATCCCTATTTGTCGCAGGTATAAATTTTACAGCACAGATAAATATAGGTGTTTTTCAGGCCAGCCAGTCAGTCCTTCACGGGCTCTCCCTGAGCATAGCGCTCTAGGGGCTATGCTTCTTGTTCAGACTCTGTGGCTGAGTTTATTTCTACTACGAACCTGAAGTTTCATTTTAAACCTTAGTCATTGTTTATAACAAATACCTTGTCATTTTCAATACAAGGTAACATTCAACAGAGCGTCCGGCGTAATTTTAATGGTTTCAGACCCCTAATTATCACCCCGAGGCGACATAACCTTCCAATCAACGTAATTTTTGGATATTATTTTACATGGTATTAAACCACAATTGATAGTAATGAAAATTACATTTTTATTTGTTTTGATGTTTCGATTTCCAATGCGATGCGTTTTAAGAAAATTCTGAAATAAAATATGGAATGATCGTAACTTATAAACTCTTATAATTGACAGTGGATGGTAACACCAATTTGACAATTGATTTTCTTTTCCTCGATCTTAGGGCTGATTGTTCGAACGCTAATCAAAATTTGATTGTAATCAAATATTTAATTACAATCAAATATGTCACAGTAGCTGTCACAACTTGCTTAATATTGTTATTTATTTGCAAATAAAAACATGAAATCAACATCAGAAAGAGTTTAATTATGGTTTATTTTAAATTAAAACGCAAAATAATAAAATTGAATAAAATAAATCAGTCAACATAACCTCAAAATGTGACGTATTTGATTTTAATTAAATATTTGATTACAATCAAGTTTTGCGATTAACTCGTTTGAATGATAATGGTATTTCCAGGTTAGGCAGCAAATGCTCTGTCGAGTTAGAATCGGACGCTGCGATCGGAACGCATAGTGGTTGGAGTCTGAGTCCGTCCAATTGATAAAGCGAATATTCACTATTTTCAACTGTTGAGATCAACAAAAAAGGCTACTCATGCTGTCGCTTTTTTTTCAGAATAACATTTATTATGAATTTTTTTTTTTTTTTTATAGCATAATTTAATTTACAATCTGCTTCATCGAAGCTATAAGTAAATAGTTTGAATATTAAATACATGGGGGAGAAGCTGCCCTGTGGCAACTCTCCTATTATATTTTTTACATTAGATCATAATATATTTAATTTATTAAATCTGTTGGCCATTGTTTCTTCAGTCGTCTTGCGAATTCGGGAGGAGCGTTTAGCAGTCTTGCTTCATCATTTGGATGACTTCTCAGACCATCAAGGTAGCTCTTTGTGATCCTTTGAATTTCTTCCTCTACCAAAGGTGTAGCTGAGTCCTCGTGTAGGGTTTTATTGCTTACATACCAGGGCGCGTTGAATATTATTCTCAATATTTTTGATTGGACTCTTTGTATTATCTTGATATTTGATGGCTTTGAGCAACCCCAGAGTTGGACGCCATAGGTCCAAATTGGTTTTATCATAGATTTATACAGGAGCAGTTTATTTTCAGTATTGAGTTTTGATTTTCGACCCATAAGCCAGCTCATTTGTCGTATTTTGATGTTGATCTGGGTTTTCTTGGCTTGAATGTGTGGCTTCCATGTTAATCTTTTGTCAAGGGTTAGTCCCAAATATTTAACTTGTGTGCTGACTGGTAATTGTGTATCGTTTAATGTGATTGTTGGACATACATCCCTTCGGTTTGTAAATGTAACTTGGGATGACTTCGTTTCATTTACTTTCACCTTCCATTTGTTGAGCCATGTTCCCAATTGGTTAAGGTGGTTTTGCAGTTGTGCAGACGCGATAATGGGGTCCTTGTTGACAGCGATTATGGTGGTGTCATCAGCGAACGTTGAAATTTGGGTTGTTTCAGTGGTTGGGATATCTGCGGTAAATAATAGGTAAAGGAGAGGACCCAGGACGCTACCCTGTGGTACGCCTGATTTAATGGGAAAATATGTGGAAGTTGCTGTGTTATATTTTACTTGGAAGTAACGATCTTCAATGTAGGATTTCATAATTAGGTAGTAGGGAGTTGGAAGAATGCTTTTGAGTTTGTATAAGAGTCCAGTGTGCCATACTCTATCAAACGCCTTTTCTACATCTAAGAATGCCGCTGTACAATATTTTTTTTCCTCAATAGCAGTAAGGATTTTTGTTATAATTCTATGAGTCTGTTGTGTTGTGGAATGTCTCTCTCTAAAACCAAACTGGTGTGTGGGTATTTCTGCGTCTAGGTTAATGTCCTTCTTCAGTCTATCAAGTAGTAGTCTTTCGAAGATTTTAGACATTGTCGGCAACAGGCTGATTGGTCGATAGGATGATGTTTTATTTGGAGGTTTGCCTGGTTTGTGAATCATTATTATTTGCGCAAATTTCCATGTGATTGGGAAATATGTCAGTCTGAGTGCACTATTGTATATTGTAGTTAACATGACCAATGCTCTTCTCGGAAGATTTTTCAGTATTAATCCTGTTATTAGGTCAAATCCAGGTGCTTTGTGTTTATTGCATTTTTCTATTTCTAGTTTCACTTCTGATGGACTGAATGGTGTTATTGGGGGCGTCATAGGGCAAGCACTATCCAGGAATTCTCTTATTAAGTTTCCATCATTATCATTATCTGCTTGGTGTTCTTTAAAAATACCAGCTAAGTATTCTGCAAATGTTAACGCTTTTTCCTGGTCTGATCTTCCCCAAGTACCGTCATCTTTCTTAATTGGTGGGTTGTGTTCTGTAGGTCTCTTTAAGTGTTTTGTTGCCTTCCATATTGAGTGATCTTCTTTAGACAAGGTACTAATGTAGTGCTCAAATGTGGCATTGCGTGCATCATTTAGCGCTGTTCTTAATTGTCTGGTTAGTCGATTATATTCGTGTTTGTCATTAATATTGCGGCTTCTTTGCCATCTACCTCTTGCTCTTCGTTTTTCGACTATTAGTTGTCTGATATAATTCGGAGTGGTATTTGTGTTTTCTTGCATTGGAGTTGATGGTGTAGCTCGATATGCAGCTTGTTGAATTTGACAGGTGAGATAGTTTATAGCTTTATCTATGTCATCTTTTTCTTTTAGTCTGATTCCAAGACTTAGATTCATGTCAAGCTGGTACTTGAATTCACACCAGTTAGTTTTAGGGGACGTTAACTTGGGTATTTCAGGTCGTTTCATTATGTGGGTGCTGAGTGTTGCTATGATTGGTGTATGATCAGACGAGAGATCCCAATTTGCTTCTATGTCTGTGTAGTTTGCTGCAATTCCTTTTAGGATGAAGAAGTCTAGTAGATCTGGTAGTCTATTTATGTCGGATGGCCAGTATGTTGGTTGTCCCGTCGATAAGTAGGTGCAGTTTGTGTTGTTGATGGCATCTAATAGGCTTCTGCCTTTTGGTGTAATGAGTCGTGAGCCCCAATTCGTATGCTTAGCATTCCAATCACCTCCAACAATGAATTTGTTACCTAGCTTATTGAATAGTTCTTCGTATTCTTCAGTTGTGATTCTATATCTAGGAGGACTATATATTGCAGCAATTTCGAAGTCCCAAGGCCTGGCATTTATATTAAGTATTGTTGCTTGAATCTCATTTGTTTTATGTTCCGGCATTTGATGGTGTTGTATATTGTTCCTTATAATTATTGCGGATCCTCCATGGGTTGTTCCATCTGGGTGACTAGTGTGGTAGACTAGTGTGGTAGTGTGGTATTATGAATAACTCGTTATACTTGCTACATACTTTTTAACCATTTTTTGGTAATTGTTTCTTATTGTGAAATGTTTTGAAAAAATCATAATAAAATATGGTTAAACTGATTTTTAGTGTTAAACAGTTTAGAAAATTTACATTTTATTATTGCCCTTTTAAGTTTGGCTGGAGGCAAAGGAGAATCTCATTCAAATATCGCAGAAGGATTAGCTACAGCCTTACATTGTTTCGAAGAACTGCAGCAGAAACGAGAAGTGACCACACTTGTGCAGAAACATTGCATTTTAATATGCAACTCTCCACCATATGCGCTTCCAGTTCTGGAGTCCCATACCTATTCGGGCAAGACTGCAGAGCAGTTAGCTGTAATTTTACAAGAGGTAATTTATTTAATTTATAATTTGTTTAGTATTGATGACTAAGACCAATTTGCCAGACTTTGTTGTATTTGTATTTATGAAGTGAGTGTCACAACTATGATACTATGAACTTCAGCATAATAAAGGTATTACTTTTCGTTAGTATAGGGTTTCTTAATATTTTTGATAAATGGAACCCTTTTTAGTAGTCACTTTTATTGTGGAACCCCTGGTTTGTCTTAATCTCTCTCTCTTCAATCCAATCCTGACCCCCCGAAGGGAGTATAGTCGTAGACGTGATGTCGTCTATTGTCCGTCTCCAAAGATTTCTGTTTGTGGTCATTTCTTCTAACTCATAAATAGTGTCTTTTACATATTCTTCTAATTTGATCGATCCATCTTGTTGGGGATCTTCCTCGCTATTTGGGCCTTCCACCTTTCGTTGTATAATGAGTCTTTCCATGTTTTCTGTGCTTGCTCTCAAACATGTCCAAAGTACTTTAATTGTTGGAGATGTACTTTAATTGTTGGAGATGTATTGTCCAGGGTCCAGGATTCATATCCGTAGGTCAGTATTGGGAATATTAAGCAGTTGATCAACTTCATATGTAAATTAATTAACTAATTAATTAATTATATGCAACAAAAATGGCAATTATTTAAAAAATATATTTATTTTCTTCAAAAAGTAATTAATTAACATACAATTTCTTAAAGAACTTGAACATTTACAGGACTTTTAAATTTTAATTTTAAAGGGATGAGTGATATTGCTTTTTATTACTACAAGTATACTTACTTAATATTAGGCTTAATTGATGCAAGTTGAATTCTCATGTCAGGTTCGGCATCGAGTCTGTTTCGGTATTTAGTTTTTGTCGACAAATAAGCTGAAAACCCCGTTTCGCACATATATGTGGTTACAAATGGTAAAAGCATTAACGCTGCCTTTTGTGGCAATTGAGAATATTCATCTTTTATACTGTACTAGAATTCCGTTAATGGCATTAATTTAAATTTATTTTGCAATGATGAATCAGATGTCATTTCAATAAAAGTTTCGTTATTCTCCTGTTGACGTGGTGGAAGGTCGTGCATTAAAAATAAATGGGTTTTTTATCAACAAATCAATTTGATATTTAATATGCTGTTCTTTTGGAAAATACTTATCAAAAGCTTCACTCAATCCTTGAATAATTTCTTTAATAAATGCCTCTGACATTTCAACCCCTTCTTGTTATAAAAAACCTTTTATTGTTGAGAAACAACCGAACTCGTTGGAGCGCTTACAAATTGTCCAAAAGTAAATTTTTTTCTTGAAGGCAAGAATTTTTTCGTGGTCTGCAATAAATAATTTTACTTGTTTGTCCTGGAAGGTTAAACTGTGTTCGTTTATGTCAAAAATGCAAAAATGTCGCTCAAATGGGCAATTTTAAGTAACCGACATAATCCGAATAATCGACATTTCAGTTCAAAATTGTGTTCTAAAAAAAGCACGCACCTCGTCCCTTACCTCAAAAAAAAACGGGTTAGTATCTTTCCTCGAGATAACCATCTGACTTCAGTGTGTAAAAGAAGAGATGTATGTACACTTTCAATCTCCTCACAGATTATTTTAAATAAACGATTATTTAGCTGCAGAGTTTTTGTGAAGTTAAGGCTGTTTTCGCAGTTATAGCATACTGCGATTTGAAGTGGGCGTATCACTTACTTTTCTACACTGCTATGTCAGACCCTACGTGACTTAATAATAGTTTGGATGTTTATTCAGTGGCGCCGGCCCACGGGTTGTTTAAAATAAATGTTTTAAAAAGAATTAATCACATTTTTAATTTATATGTCTTAGCTAAACATAGTATTAAATAAAAATTTGTGAAACGTGACTGCAAAAAACACCATGGTGTTTATTTATAATAAATTTAAAATAACATAAGAATAGAATAGAAAAATATTTTTATTTATCTATAAAAAATTGGTACCTGCGAAACCATCATAATAGTAAATGTATTTATCTGGCAAGTATTTCGAGGCGACGCACTGCGAGGAAAAAGTTCTCTGAATGGAATATACATTATTTTAATATATTTATAGGTTGCAGTTACATAAGAAAAGTATCCAATTGATGAATAAAACATAAATCGTGGATAGTTATTTCATCATATCAGTGGCATTTCAGCTCGTCATGAGCCAAAGGCTTCTTCAGAACAATCTTCCATTCGCCCCTGCCTCTGGCAACTTTCTCCATGCTTTAACTCCGATGGATTTTAGATCATCCTCTATGTTATCTTGATACCTAAGTTTTGGTCTTCCTCTGGATCGTCTTCCACTGGTCCTCTTCGGTCGAAATTTTTTCTGATCGTTTCATCTTCATCTCGCCTAATTACATGTGTTATCAATCAAAGGCGTACTAATTTAATAAATTTTACAACGTCAGGTACTACACCTGAAGAAGCATCGTAGTTTACTTTATACGATCTTTTTGACGAAGCACCATCAGCTATAACGGTTATTAACCCATTTCCGTCGGAATCTACGGCCAATTTCTTTGGCTAAAGCTAATTCCTCCCGTCCAGCCTCTTCTAAGGAATCACAAAGTGTTTGGCCGATGATATCTGCAACTGTTTCCGTATGTTTTGCATACTGCCTGTAGGAAATCACAGGTATATTTAATGCAGCGTGCTGCTGCTGTATGTCTGAATAACCAGAACCATTCAAGTTCAGTGAATTGTTACCAGAATCCTATGTTGCTATCTCCTTTTCAATATTCCCCATTTGACATTTAAAAGTCAATGTACTTATCAATCCGTCCATTTTTTCTTTGATAATCTCCATATTAGAAAAGTTGCATGAAAATGGAGAATGATTATTCAAACCTTGAATAGATATATATATATATATATATATATATATATATATATATATATATATATATATATATAAATTATATATATATATATATATATATATATATATATATATATATATATATATATATATATATAAGTTAAATAAAAGCTTTTAAAAACGGTGTAATATAAATAATAAATACTAAAGCAGTGTAATTGCTCTCCTTTTCCTTGACATAGGACGTTTACTGGGGCTCATTTTTTATCTTGTCTCTTATAACTTATATCACTAACCTAATGTAATACTTAAAAATACGCGTAAACTAAAGAACTTTTAACTTATACCACTAAACTAATAATATATTACTTAACATACACGTAAACTAAATAATTTCAATGTTTTCAAAATAAATAAGAATACTGTAAACTGTAAAAACTAAGCAAGTTGATAAAGAAAATACAAGAATGAAAGAACTAAAATGGATTCTAATTCAAACGAACGACCGTACCCATAGAGAAATAAAAATAAGACCGTACCGTACGCTCATGTGATTTGACGTCACTAATGCGATAACGATCAAGCTCAGCGACAATGATGAGAAACACGTTTCACTATTAGATTTTAGTATTTTTTAGCAATTTTCTTCAAAGTTTGAATACGCTTTTCTCGATTATTACTGGACACAGAAAGGTGAAAAAAGAATCAACGATTACAGAAAAAAAAAAACTCTTTCAACTGATGGGCGTGAAAAGTTTGGTTATAATAGAACGTTAAACAGTATAATCCAATTTTTCAACAGAAAATTCAAAAAAATAAAAAAAGTAAAACCATCAGTTTAAAGGCAACATAATTTCGTATAACATGTCCAAATTTCGAGACATTTCGTCGGTAAATAACAGAGAAAAAATTTTGGTGCACCGATAAAACAGCCTGTTTAGCAGCAAATCACCTGCCTATGGATCATGCAGTGGCTACTCGAACAGTTTTTAGCTATATTTTTAATAAGCTGTGTTCAAGAAAAGAATTAAAAAAACCAAATATTTCGACTCCAATAGTACGTGTTGTTAGAGATATACATAAAAGAAGTTTTCGTGCTAATATCTAACGATTACAATAATTAATATTGCGAGTCCAGCTACATCGGTTGATTTATCTATTTGTAACGAAAATTTGCATGATTTGAGGCGAAAAGTAAGTTCATTCTTTATACAGGGTGTTTCAAAAAGGTATGTCATAAATTAAATCACGCATTCCGGGGACAAAAATAAATTTATTGATTCCAACTTACCTTAGTACAAATGTGTACACAAAAAAAGTTACAGCCCTTTGAAGTTACAAAATAAAAATTGTTTTTTTGCATTATCTCCTAAACTACTTGACATTTTGTAATAAAATGAACACGTTACTTTCTTGTTCTGAAAGCATTTTTTATACAAAGGAAACAACAAAATCTAAGCGCACAGAAAAATTTTAAGGGGTGTGTGCAGCCCTAAATCCCCCCAAACTTTTGTGTACGTTCAAATCAAATGAATTTTGTGGCATCATTAGTTTAACACATTATTTTTAAAAAAAATTTGCCTCTTATCACTTTTTTCAAAAAACAGTTTTTATTGAGTTACGACCCTTTTCATTAACCTTTAAAAAATTACATGCAACTAAATAAATGGATTAAATGAATTAACAAGTACAAAAAATGTTCATAACCTCTATAAACATGATATAACAATAAAATATGTTCAAAATGACCCCCATTTTCTTCAATGCACATTCGGTATCGTTTTAATAAGGAAAACCGAATGCGCTGAAAAATCATGTTTTTCTGACGAAATTGATTTGAAGCTTCAATTATTCTAACCCTCAATTGTTGTTTGTCCTCTATTGTTACAGAATACACTTTCTTTTTCATAAACCCCCAAAAGCAAAAGTCCATGGGGTTAAGATCTGGACTCTGGGTGGCCAAGAAATAGATGCGTCATGACCTCTTCCAATCCACCGACCAGGATACTGCCTGCAAAGGTATTCCCGGACTTCATTACTGTAATGCGGTGGAGCTCCATCTTGTAGAAACCACATATTTTGCCTTATTGCAATATTCATAGAATATTGCAAGAACTGCAAATAATTATCACCATTTAAATTGTTGAGAAGAAATAGTGGGCCTATTAGATTGTTAT